AAAATTCAAATGTTGGCTGGACACTTTGGGAGTTCTGGACTTAACATCTGGAGAATGCCAGATTGGAGAAAAATGGGTTCATATGTACATCTTTCCTCTGTGTTTTTTATTAAAATAACATTAACAAGTGGTTGTGTTGTTGCATCTCTTTATGAAGCAATGCTTACTCAGAGAGAAATGCCTCTGAATATAATGGAACTGCTTAGTTATAAGTGTACTTACTATAGGAAATACATTGGGAGCCAGACTTTTCCAAGGCAAAAATGGTGATTTTATAACTAACAAACTGTCAGTAGCACTACACAATGCATGAGATATACAAAGCAAGGTGTCCATTATGCTAAAAAGAATCACTTTGTTTAAACTTAAGAATATGTAAGAACAGACTATATGCTTACATTACAGCGTAACATACAGAGGATGGTTTAATTGACTGTTTCACAGTGTAGTAAAGATAGCCTTGTCTGATGTCTGGGTAGATGCTGACTTCAAATTAGTTAAAGGCAAAACGGATACATTGATCCCAACAATATCCCAGGTAAATAACAAATAGTTTACCAGCCTCCTTTTTTAGTGATTAAAAAAAAACAGATAAATTTCCTCTCTCTTAATAATGTTCATAACACTTCAGAACATAAGGATTATTTAAATAGTGATTTGGTGCCCTTTGAAATACACACTAGAAACATTGTTGAATCTATTCCCATTGCATTTCTGAAACCATTTATGTGAAGGCTTTTTGTTTCACGGAGATCTATATAAATACTCAAAGTTACAGAATGTTAAATTTGGCTCAGCTACAGTGTAATGTCAGCAATAGCTGCATTTGCTGGTTTGGCATGCAGCTCATACCAAGGTGTTCAGTTGTGTAGACGTGATATAAGCTATTGCCAATTTACATGTTATTGTGCTACCATTCCCTTTTACTGGCTGTCAGCTATAGTGGCATGACACCATAAATCAGATCAGATTTCATTATACATTTACTTAAATAAGATAGATTTCATTATAAATTTACCCAAATCATATACAGAATAGAAATGCAAAGTGCTAGCCCAAAACTTGCATTCTTTTGTCTCCAGTATTCTATGCATGTCATGTTTCTATGTTTAAAGATCTTATAGTATTTGAAGAATTTTTATGGCCCTCATCAAAATATATCAGTTTGATGTACTTTCTAAGGCAATGGCCCCCAACTTTTTGGGCACCAGGGACTGGTTCTATGGAGAGAGGTTTTTCCACAGACCGGAGGGGCCGTGGTTTTGTGCGCTGCCTGCATTCCTGGATAGGGCTTTACTTGTTTGCGCAGCCTGCCTTCTGGCATGCCGCGGACTGTTGCTGGTCCGCGGACCAAGGGTTGGGGATCCCTGTCCTAAGGCACATAAAATTACCACAATTCCTATTAAATTCCTATTAAATGAATAGAATAAACTCATGCATACAGAGATGAAGGAAAAAAATAGAGAATATCCTATATTCAGGGGAAACTCCAAGAAGAGAAAAGATAGAAAACTATCTAAACAAAAAATATAAAAGAAGGAAATATTTTAACAATAACATAGTGGAATAAAATGTTGATAGCCTAAGAGAAGGAGAGAACTGACAATCAAATTGAAGAAGAAATAGTATGGTGTGATATTGGGAAACTGGGGAAAAATTTATAGACGTAGCATGGAGTAGAATGATTAGCAAAAATAAAAACCAGGAAACATGAAATAGAGTGATTAAATAAAAGATAGATGTGCACATATAGAAACTGGAAACAAGTATTACATAATATTAATTTGGAGGGGGAGAGAAACATGAATAATGGAATTAAGTGGCTAGAACACTGAATATGAAAATTCCATATTGTGGTATTTTGTTCAAGGCCCAGTTGTATATTCAGGATATTTGCATAAAAATTCAAATAATTACCTTCTGGTGGATTGTTGCATTTACATATTGACATAATGCATCTGGCATTCTGCTTTTCACTGTTTCAGTAACTATGATCCAACATGGGTACACACTGGTTAGCATGTGGGTGTACATTTCAGAGACGGAGTTGTAGTTCTTGAAAATAGCATGAAGAGCCATGAGCTTACATTAGTTTTGTACTGAATATAGTTGTTCCTAAGGAAACCTTTTGTGTAATTTAAAATGAAAATTTGTTGCTGAATATTGACTATTGATAATTTTAGATGTAAATAACTACATCTTTGCAGTGGAAATTCTAAAAAAGAAATTATTAAAAGCAACTCTTTTGTTTTGAAACATAATATTTTATACAACTAGTTTTATGCTAAGGGTCCATTTTCAATACAGAATATAGAATCTGAGTCAATATAATGCTGCTCCCTAATGCTATCTATATAAAAAGAGAGGTTCTGCATGTACAGAAGGATCAATTTGCTCTATGATGCCTTAAACATGTACAGGCTCCAGGAAAAATGTAACCTGACCAATATAAACTTTTGAATCTTTTGTAAAAAGTTGACCCTGTTTCTTTTAAAAGTTCCTTCCATTCAGGCTTTCCCACTTAAGACTCCGAAAGAAAGCACCCTATCAAATATTTCAACTGTGTGAACTCAGCTTACCTGGCTGAGGAATTCTGGGATTTGAAGTCCACAATTCATAAAAGGGCCAGGTTTGAAGACCCCTGCATTAAAGCAAGAGATCAGACAGTTGTTTCAAACAAAGGTGGCTCAGGGCTGTGACCAAGTTATCTTTAATCAAGACAGTTACTCCCTTGCTTGGCAAGGAGCCTCATTGAGCATTCTTGTTCTTTACTCCACTCTACTCAGAGTCCAAGGGCTTGGGGTTCATGCTCATCATCTCACTACTCCAGCTGTTCTGATGGTACCTGTGTTTGATCAACTTCAAGTGATTCCTGGCTAGGTAATTTCTGAAGTTTACATTCCACAGGTTCAACTAGAGCAGGGCTTTTCAACCTTTTCACCCATTGTACCACTTTTAGGGTATGGCAATATCCGAGTACCACCAGTTGCCTAGAATGATGTCAAAAACTTGACGACCCAAAAATTAAAAAAGGAAACAAGTGATAAAATACAGGTAGTCCTCGACTTACAACAGTCCTCTTAGTGACTGTTCGAAGTTACAATGGCACTGAAAAAAAGTGCCCCCCGAGCCACAGCCGAGCAAGACACCTGCCTGCCCACCCGGCGGCGATCTTCCTCCTATCTGAGGTTTTCATTGTTGTGAGCATTTCTGTTGAGGATTGGCAGCGGGGGTGGGGTGGGGTGGGGGTGTTTGGTTTTTATTCCCCCCGTCTGCAGGGTGGTTGCATCAGGTTTTGGTCACTTCACATGACCCTGGGACACTGTGACCATCATAAATATGAATCAATTGCCAAGCATCTGAATGTAAATCACAAGACCCTGGAGATGCAGCAACATTCCAGCTGATCGGCGCTTCTTCTGGGCTCAGCAGAAGCATCAGGATCAGTGCCGAGCTCCAGCTGGAGCCTGTCGCTGATCCTGGCACTTCCACTGAGCCCTGACAGCCCCAAAGAAGCACTGATCCTGGTGCTTCCACTGAGCCCTGACAGCCCTGCAGCTCCAGCCATCTCTCGCTCAGGCTTGTGCGGTGCTGCCCCTCCCCCGCTACCACTTTTCTAGGATGTTCGCGTACCACCTGCCAGGTGCCAATGTACCACAGGTGGTACCCGTACCACTGGTTGAAAAGCCCTGAACTAGAGCAGGTTTGTCAGAGTCTGAATTCTGAGTCATGAGACAAAGTTATTGTGTTTTAGCCTGTTTGGAGAGGATAGCAGGCCCCCTGAAAGAGCAAGTACTGTCATTGGATTTGCAAATGGTGGCTGTGGCAAAGACTTTAATTATATAATTACTGGTTCCAGCTGTGGCCAATTATAAGCTTAATAATTTTATAGTAATGTATTGTACTGCTTAGTGATTTATCTGTTATTATTTTTACCACTTCTAATTTCCAGATTTTTCAAAGCCAACTTCATCTAGGTTATATTGCTAGTAACATCCCATCCTGATTACTGCAATATAGCCTATGCGAGGTTGAAAAATGTCTGGAAATGGTGCAAATAATGGCAAGTAAACTAAGCTGTGCAACAAATAGGAAATATATGAGGTTTGTACTAAAATATCTGCATTGGTTGCTCATGAGGCCATAATTACAGTTGTTGGTATTCATCATAAATGTCCTAAACCATACTTTTTAAAGCATATTCTGCGAAGCACAATTGTTCCGTAAAGATTAATAGGTATTCAACAAATGCCTATTTTCTCTCCCAAGATGGAAGAGAAAATGTTTTGTGAGTTTTCTCACATTGACCATTGAATGAAGATGTTAGCAGATTTCTTCTCAGATATCACATCAAAACAATTAGGGGGAAAAACATTACTTTTGGATAAAGTTTCACAGAGGAACTGAACTTTTATGTGAAAATGCATTGAAGAGCCTCTTAACTTTTCTATCATCAGTTTTGTGAAAGTGAATTTTCACGCTCACTTCAAGAAAGACCAAATATCAGAACAATTATCTACATCTATTTTAAAAATTGAGACAAGATTATGATACTGGCTTTGTGATAATATTAATTAGACATCAATAATCCTTATTAATTTACTGCAGATTATGTCCCAGTCTACCTCTGACAGCCAGTACTAGGAGACATTGATTAATTGGAGAAATCAGGTGTATCTAACCTAAAGATCCAGAAGTACATGTGTTCCCTCAAGGTTTCCAGTCACCTCTTCTTGCCACCAAATTGTAGCTCCCAGTATAAGAAATTGGATGTGCAGGAATAATCCTAATAATGTTTTGTCCTGAATCTATATACTTTTGGAAATATAGACTCCATGATGCCATTCAAATGCAAGAGCTGATCTTGTAAAAATATTGTGGACTTACGCTTTGACGGGTTTTCTTATTTAAAATCAGATGACAAGAACAAAATAAAAGTGTGAAGATGATTTGTAAATGATGAAAGACCTGGCTCTAATCTTTTTTTTTTCTTCTTTCAGGTGAGCAAGAACCAGCAGTTAGTAGTGATTCAGATATTTCATTGATTATGGCAATGGAGGTTGGACTCTCTGATGTGGAACTTTCCACTGATCCAGACTGCGAGGAGGTGAAATCCTGAAAAAAAGGAAACTATCAAAACATCCTTCCACTAAACTAACAGGCAGTAGCAGGAAGAAGAAATCAGTTGTGGTACACATGATTATCCATATACATATGTGCACATATGTAAGATTTGGGTCAGTTGTGTATACATGAATACCCATATACACACGTGCACATATGTAATTGTATGACCTGCAAAGACTTCCGGAACATTATGTGAACTCCAGTTAATTCCATTCTGGGATGGTCATGAAAAGCAATAGTAACAGACGTGTCTGCCTGGATGCAGTTTCATTAACAATTATATTTGTTCATTTCATTGAAAACAGAAGTTGAAAATGTATTGTTCTAATCCAGGTGCCAGAAGAATATGCCCCTGCTTGGTGGCTTAGAACCATATAACCATATAACTGACATGAAGTCCCCCCCCACACACACACCTTTGGGTTTTGTTTTGTTTTTAAAACAAAAGGGATACCAGAAAATGATTATAGCTGATATTGATGGACATTATTTTTCTTTCTTTTTAATAACCCAAGCTTATTCAAATATTCAGTTCAGAGATCGGAACATTATGGTGTGTCACAAAAATGTATGTATGCCAGGTATTTTCTACATGAAGAAAGCATGGCTTCAGGAAGAAATGGTGCTTCCAACTTTGACTTGATTTGAAGACTCTTTTTATTATTGGCCCTTGGAGATCTGTGCTTCCAGGGTCTTTCAGACAGGAGAACAGAGACTGGTTTGATAGAGGTTGGCAAATTGTTACTTAATCCTGCTGGGTCCCACTCTGAGCTTTACGACGTTGATGTATGACTTCTGAGTGAGAGAAGATGCGTGAAGACAACAATCAGAATGAAATTAAAGGTCAACCAATATATGCGGTTCTTTGTACTACTATATACTCTTCATGCCTTAATGGCTTTCACAGTGATTGATCTGAAATTAGCTTTACTTTAAAAAAAAAGCTTTCCCAAGAACTTTCTGACCTATGAATGAGTGGAATGTATTGATAATATTTGTGGTTAGATGGAAAGAAAATAAAAATGTTGTAGGAGGGCCACAGGGGTATGGTAGTTTAGGGTAGTTACCAATGGACTCAGATTGTTTATCACACAAGGTATACCTTGAAAATCATTTTATCCCCTCAAAAAACCTTATTAGTTACTCTTATTTTACAAGTGAAAGTTTTCCCAGTTTCCAAGGAACTTTTCAACGATTGTGGAAAAGGACACTCAGACACAGCCTGATCTTTATTTATACAACTCCATTTTAATATTGTTGGATAAATAACCAGTAATCCAATTCAGGGAGATCCTTTCATTCCTAGAAAAGAGTAAAATTGTACTAAGAATGAACTGCTTCCCTAAATACCCCTAAATCAAATTGATTGTACCACATTTAAATTCACCTTAAAATTATTCAGAAAATCTCAGGCACTTTTATTATGATGTGTGAAAATATGCTACAAACACCTTTTATTGTTGTTTATGCTCCTGATGTGGAGTATGTAGGCTAAACCTGGATAAGTTTAGATGTAAATCAAAAGGTGATTATTCATAATCTTATTTCTGAATCACAATTTAAAACTGAAACATTCAAACCAAATTCACTAAGAGTTGTTTGTTTTTCTCTAATTAATGTATGTTGAAAATAAGTGCCATTAGCTGCTGGAATTTAAGCGATCTTGTTTTATGCTATCACTTAATGGGGTGTGCTATTTATGCAGAAGAACAATTCGTATTTTAATCAAAGTACTTAAGAAGGACTTTTCATCTTTATGTCACAAAAGGTTAAGCTAATACTTCTGACAATAAGAATAGTAATTTCAATCACAGTAGATAAACAGAGGTAACATAGTCACTTGTACTTATAAACTGAATAGACACAGAGTGTTCTTTCTTCCTATAGTAGAATAGTACTATAAGAATTCATCCATAGGTGAGCAAAAAGTAGATGTAGATTTACTTAATGGATCCCGAGTAACTGGTTATTGATCAGTAACTACTCCTGATACCTGTATAGTGAACAGTAGCTGTAAAAGGCCCTCCCCACCTTAAATTGCCATTTGATCAAAGTATTGTTTCTTCATCAAAAGACTATGCATTGCAACCTGGTTCAATAGTTGAACTTTTAGCCCCATATGTTTCTAAATCCCAAAGTCTGACTTCTGTATCAGCCTCCAGCTGGTGAATCCAAAGACAGAAATAATAGCAGTATTAAATCCTTGAAAACAGAGATTTGCTAACCTCTGAAATTATCCCATGTACTTTCTTGTTACTTTTCTTATATTCTGATTTTCCTCTCTCTGCATTTAGTTTTCCTAATATGCTATTTTGTTAGGAAACTGAACAATGAAATAATGGCCAAGCTTTGTATCCCGCATGATTTATCATGTTCCACAAAAATTGGAAACTTTTTAGTGCAAATGTCATCATTTATGCCATTTCTTCCTATCCCAGAACACCTTTGAATTCCAGCATACTTTGCAAAATGCCACCTGGGACAGTGCTAAGAACTGGCATTAAATCCAAATGTGGAAAATGTTGGAGATACCATCTGCTTCCATCTTTCTTTGTTTGGGATGGGAATGAAAACATCGTATGAAACCTAGTTTTGGTCTTGTGAATAGTGCAAGTAAAAAATGAGTGTCCCTGGGAAAGACAGTTATCTACATTGTATCAAGGCTTGCTGTGGCATCTGATTTATTATAAGCACTGAAACTGCAATTTTGAAAGCAAATTGGTCTCTTTAATATCATTGCCTTCAACAAAACAGCACTGAGAAAGATCAGTCTGCCCCATAATAAGGAATCTTCCCCCAAGCTGATGCAGTTCCATTTGACTCTGAAACAACATAGAATCTAGAAATATTAGTATTCTGTTTATTGCTATTTGATTCAAATTGAATAAAATTAAATCCTCCTCCACTAATACAAAGGGAATCTTGGTGGGCATAACTTGTGCTGCCACATATTGTTAACTGTGCCTGTGAAAACGTACCTGTCAGATTATAAAGATGTAGTTGTTTTAATATTGGAAGAGGCTACTCACTGTTCCAGTATATTCTTGTTTAAAAATATAAAGCATCCCTGTCTTCAGTTCAATTCATTTCGAAGACATGTGAGATACTATATTAATTAGTCAGGGGCAAAAGATAGTCTGAATCTTGTATGGTCAACTTTCAACATGACTTTACTATGTGGCCATGTCCAGCTTTATGTTATCTACAGTGTTGCAGTAAGATGCAGTAAGTATGCCTATTTTGCTGTACTCGATTGTTGACATGTTAAACCATGTTGTCCATCTGCATCCAGCCCAACTGCAAAGTTGGGTTATGATAATCAAAAATAATATTAGCTTGTAAACTGTCCCTAGGCCTGCCTGTGTTTCTCCTATCTCACTCCAACCATTTCCATGTTATCTGAGGGTTAACAACATTAATGACTTATAATTTTAAGCAGTAAAAGTCATTATGGCGCATATACTGGTGGTAGATAGATGGTCAATGAACAGCATGTGTGACTTTGCACTAAGTCTGATGTTTTTCTTTTCCAATGTAACAAATAGGGGAAGTATGTAATACTCTAAGGAAGCCAATTTGGTGCAGTGGTTTAAGGCATCAGCTTAGAAACCAAGAGACCATGAGTTCTAGTTCCACCTTGCTGAGTGATCTTGGGCTAGTCAGTTTCTCTCAGTCCTAAGAAGGAGGTAATGGCAAAACGCCTCTGAAAAACATTGCTACAAAAACTGCAGGGACTTATCCAGGCAGTGTCCAAGAACTGGGCATGAATGAATGGAAGAAACTATATGTAATTGGAAAATACTGATATTGTGCACTACTTTAGAAAGATGTCTTCTCCCTGTGTCATTAATTTAGACATTAATTTAGTATTCAACCAAGAACATTCCTTATCATCTATAACTTCTTTCTTTGAACTAAAGAAATCAGTAATTAAATGTTGCTGGGTTTTGTTTTTTGGCTGTCTGAGAATGTGCTTAGTGCCAATGAACTAAAGCTATTGAATGTTTTGGATGTATTATTAATCTTCCAATTTACTGAAGAAGTCTTACCTAGTAACTGATATTAAAAGCAATAGAATAACCCAGAAAATCAGTTAAACATTATTTTCTAAATACAATAGTTTTCAGGCATAGACATAGAAATGTATATAAAGGATCTGAAAAATAGCGAAGATAGACCACTGAATAATGGTCCTCAATCTGACATAGTTTTCTGCATAAAGTCAGCTTAGAGGTCTGGCAAGATAACCTGCCCCAGCCAACTGAATAGGGTAAATGCTGGGAGAGGGTGAAAGGGATATTAGAAGCTAATGGCTTTTTGCTCTGAAATGCCTAATGTCTACAGGTTGCTTAAACCCCACTAACTATTGAACAGAATGCAACCGGATGGGGCCTCTAAGGTTTTTGGACTGGCTTTCTACTTCTACTTCTGCCACCAAGAGCTTTGAAAAGAGAAATAATTATTGTATTGTAGTAAAATGATCTAAATGTGGACTGTATGTTGATGGTCAACCATGTGATAACAGTAGTAACATGTTGGAAGACAAAACTGCAGATATTCTGAATGACCATGCTGTCCTCAGATGGCACTATATCATTAAAGTAAGACCTGTCCATCATGAGCTCTCCATCATTCAGCTATTGCGCATGAAATGCAGGAGGGGAAACTTATCTATAATGTAGAGAGCAAAGTCTTTTGCTAGCTGTGTTGCTATATATAGCTGGTTTTGTGAGAACGTATACGATGTTACATTGGATTATCTATTTAATCAAATTTAATAATACAGAACAATCTCTGCCGATGCGCAATTCTAATAACTTCATCAGTGTTAAGAATAGACTTATTTGAGCTTGTAAGATCTTCCAGTAGTATTTATAAAATCTTTCTCTGTTCTTGCTTACCACATAGGGAGAGTAGTTCTATTTTACGTTTGCACAGTACACAGTTGGTGAAAAACTGAGATATTATTTTTCTGTAGTTCTTTCAAAAATCACGGCCCACTAAGTATTTCTAGCACTAAGTATAACTGCATCATGATCCTTAGATGCAGTGTTGCTGCCACCTCAAGTGTATTTTTGCCAAGAAGTCTATGAAGCAGGCACAAAACAATGCATTTTCCAGTATCTGCTTGAACATATCAGTTACAGAGAGCTGGAAGAGAAATCATGCTTCTGAATGTGCTTCCATTGGCAACCAGACGAATCGATAATAAAGGAAAACACAGTTCAGAGGATAGCATATGTACAGACATGGAGAAACACTTGA